CAGGTGCTGAGCCGAATCTTGTATTTGCTGAATATAAGCCATTTACTTTGACTGTTTGTGGAAAAAAATAAAAGTTTATTTTCAGCAAATACAAGATTCGGCTCAGCGCCTGTATACTAAGGTGACCTTAATGGGACCACCACCTAAACAAGGGAGGGATATACCGTCCATTAGACATGTGCGATTCGGTTCGTTCCGAAATTCGTTTTGGACGAATTTTCGGACATTCGGAGATTCGGATGCATCCGAATTCCGAATTAAAGCTAAGCCGAATGCAAACGAATCCGAAATTCCCGATTTCCCGAAATTCGTTATTAAACGAATTTCGTTGCAGCAAAACGACATTAGGAAAAAAAAAATACAACAGTTACCTTCTCCAACAGTTCTATGGTTAAAGTACAGAAGCAATAGCGTAGAGGGTACGGGACAGGTTTGCCATTGTTAAGGTCGCAGGTTCTAGTAGTGGGTAAAGATTTATTTTTTATTTGCTTTTGAATTGGCAGTCTCCTATTGACCTAAATGTAATTTCTCATTTTGCTATTGGACGAATTCTGTTGCAGCAAAATTATTATTATTTTTTTTTTTACAGACTGCAGAAAATGAAAAAAAAAAAAGCGTGAGGTTCCCCCCAAAATCCATACCAGACCCTTACCGCTCCACCCATTTGACATACTCAGCTGTCAAATGCTACATATTGCATTCATATATATCAAATGCTTCTATGGTTAAAGTACAGAGGCTATAGAGTAGTGGTTAAAGTACAGGCTTGCCATTGATAAGGTTGCAGGTTCTAATCCAGGCCACAGCGTGAAGCTTTTTATTTTTTTCATAAAGGAATTTCGGCAGCACTACCGCTAACGAATTTCGTTCGAAACTAATTTAATTTCGGACCCGAAAAACGAAACTAAACTAAACAAATTTTTTTTTTTTCGAAACGAAACAAAACTAATTTTTTTTTTTTTTTTTTTTCAAAACGAAACTAAACAAATTTTTTGCTGGTGCACCTGTCTACTGTCCATCCAGGACCCATTCCTGGCGTCCTGTACAATACACACACATACAAGACATAGAATCTGGAGCAGCTGTGCATGGCAACCAATCCGCTTTTCATTTTCAAATCTTAAGGTGGCCATACACTCTACAACCATCTCAAGACCTTAGTCTTGCGATGGTTGTACAGAGATAAAAAAAACGTACGATCTGCCTATCTTGGACAGGCAGATAGCACTCTCGATCATCGCAAGCCCGCCCCCCTGAGGGGCGGGCTTCCGATGACCGCAATGCTGAACGGGCAGTGTGCGCGTGCGCACACCGGCCCGTTCGGCATTTGTCTTCCGAGCACCGTTCTAACCAGCCGAGAATCGTACGATTCCCGGCTGGTTTTCGAACATGCTGGTTCGACGGAAGACGTGCGACCGTACAGTAGAAACGGTCGCACGTCTCCGTTCACACTGCTCGATTCTCGTACGATCGCGGGATTTCCCGCGATTCTCGTACGAGAATCGAGCAGTGTATGGGCACCTTTAGGAGAACAAACTGAAGAGAGAAGCTGATTAGTTGCCATGCACAGCTGCTCTAGATTTTCTCTGCTCCAGTTTTGATTTTGATTTTGATTTTTCTCCCCAATGTATGTGTGCTTGCTGTCAAAGCCTGCACAATGTTACATGAATTTCTACTTTTGGTAGTATTTTACAGTCTTCTTTAGTTATATCAGTATGCAGTTCAGACAGACTTGATCTTGTACAGTACATGTAAAAAAGCTAGAGAAACAGGGAAAATTCTAGATTTTATTTAGATAAAATGTATTATTGAATTAATAGAATTTATTAGTGAATTGTTCACATATACTCTATACACACGTTGTGGGTGCATAGTGATTACTAAGAGAATACAGTTGGATTGTTCAGTCTGGTTCACATGGTGATGGTGATGGTTTACTAACTTAAGTGCATAGTGTCAGATTTGATCTGCAAGTGGCATTTCCATCCTAGCGCTATTCCAAACAATAAAGCAACAGAAGCAGGCAAGAGTTTCTGTATACTGGAAATCCCCCTAAACTTTCTTTTAACAAAGAAATATAATCATAGAAACCAAAAAGTACAAACATGTAAGAATGTTTAGCATCAATATGTACTAGATAGGAAGTAGCTGCCAATGTCCTTTTAACAGCCCACACAAGAGTTTAGAGTTCTGGTCTACATAGCTCGCAGAAGTGCTGTGCGTGAAACCATGGGCAAAGGAAATGGACGTATTGCAGAATTGCTTTTTGTGGTTTGGTAATCTGTAGACCTAGACAGAAAGAAGATTTCCTAACATGTTTTTCAGCATACAAAGCATAGTGTATACACTAATATATAAGCTTGCATGTACAGAGAGTTCCTGTAAAGACTGTATTTAACCACTTCAGGATTGGCATGTTAAATCCTCTTTAACAACAGGCCATTATTCTGTTTTCTCCACTGTGATAGTTTGCCTGAGAATTACTCCGTCACACACACGGTGTCCAAATTCATTTTGTATAATTTTTTTGAGATAGATAGAGCTTTCTTTTGGTGGTATTTAATACCTGTTTTTTATTGTAGTGATGGCCCTGATGGAGCCGCTGGTAATTCTGGGTCCTCCTACCTCCTCAGCTGTTACCGTCCCAGTTTTCAGCTCCAGCAACACAAACACTTCTTGTAATGAAAAGGTTCATGTCTCAGGATCTTTCTAAGATTTATTGCTCAGTGGTATAAAAACTCAGGAGAGAGGGTCTAGGGTTGCAGGATGTCCAAAAACACAAATAAATAGAGGACAGAATCTTCTCCAATAGCAACACTAATAGAACCAGGTCTTATGAGAGCAATGAAAAAATAGATTCTTGAACAGAGAACGGCCAAGAAATTATATGACCCTGTAAGAGGAGTCACAGTCCTTGTAGTGCACCAACTGGCTTCTGATCCTCTGTGTATAGTAGTTGTGCGATGAATCCTTCTAACAATGTCCAGACGGTTTTTTTTTACCAGAAAACCTACAGAACACAGAACAGTTAATGCCCATACTGACTACAGTTCAGCAATATACACACTAAGGGGTCTATTCACAAAGCTGCCGAGGGCAGCCGAGTGAATGACCGATCAGAAGTGAAGTGAGCCGAACACCGTTCGGCTATAATAGTGACACAACTACAGATGCCAGGGTTGCTACATTATGATTTACTATATAGGAAAGAATACCTACAAATTTGAAAAACAAAACCTGTTTCCTTTACTCTCTGTTAAAAAACAAAGCAAATAAAAATGCCAGGACAGTATATACCCCACCCCCTAATGACCCATTTTGGAAACTATACACCACAAGGTGATCTGATTTTTTTGCCACAATTGTTTGTAAATAAAGAAACATGCCAGTATTGAGGGGGTTAAAATATAGAGCTTGGTAATGGTGCATACATATTAAATGTACAGATCATACACAACGGGAGATGGAGGTGAGGGGGTTAATGTACAGGTCACATAGAGTGACAGGATGGAGATGAAGGGGTTAATGTACAGATGTGTAAACTGTTCTATTTTTTTGTTATTCATTCATTCATTCATTCAGCAGTTCCTGTACTCTCCCCTGCCTCTATTGTAAGAGTAAGGGGTGGGCTTGCCATTTGATCGATGTGATCACATGGCACAGAGCCGTTCCATTTGGCTCTAGGCTTAAAGCCAATGCTCTTCTCTGTCTAATGACACCAGGAACAGCGGCTTGTGTCCATCCTCCCAGAATAATAGGGTTGTAGACCAGTCAGTGCACAAATAGTTAAAGTGTATCTAACGCCTTTTTTTAATAGTTTGGGATAAAGTGTAGAAAGGTTTTAATCCCTACTCTATCCAAACCTAAAACAGTCAAAGTGAAGCTTTGCTATGTTATAATAAACAGTTCAAACTGTTAATTGTGCCTATACAGTACCCTGAAAGATCTACCTTTTGTCTGGTCCACCTAAAAAATAATAGTGCACTTCCTGATATGTGAGTGTATCAAAGCAATCCGGTGCCTACAACTTAAGAGCTGAATATCTGCAGTGTGAGATCTAAGTCACTGTTGCCTCTGACTGCTGGTGCTAGAACTTTGGAGTGAGATTTGGTGACGTCACTACTCTGCTGCTCACTGCCCTCCTTCTGGAAGGCTCTGACATGAAGAACCAAGACCCTGCTTCAATCAGATAGCCCCCGTTTTACAGAGACACAGTGCAAAACAAACCATGGTAACTTAGAATTAGAGAAAGATCAACTGCAGACAGACCACAGGAAATACTGATGATTAGTCATTTTCCTCCTGCCTGTCATTTTTTTTCCTTTTTTGGCCAAGCTTCTGGAGTTCAGTTCCTCTTTAAGTAGGATGTGGCACATAATTATCTATCTGCATCAATATTCACCTAACATATATAGGAGCCATTGATTTACCTGTGAGGTCCATGTTTCTGCTGTCAGTGATGGAGACTGGATATGTATAATCTGTGGCCATTTCATGTTTCCATGGTTCATCATTGTTCATGGTGCTACTGCAGATTACACATTAATATGAGATTCCCACTCAAGCTGTGAGATTGTGTGCTACCCTTCCCTACTTCATAGTCTCAGCTCTGAACTTCACTCGGTTTTCATATATGTCCCCCTGTTTCTTTCAATCATTCTCTGTGTTGCTGGTCAGCATGTAACACAGTTCTTCCTGTTAGTGGTAGCAGGAAGCACACCCGCATTATGGTTAAGTGACTGGGGCTGCTACACTGCACATTGTGCTTCAGAGGGGATGAAGAACCTGCTTCTAAGTTTAAAAAGGAATATGTCAGTATGATATTATTCTAAAGGAGTAGAACACCATAGGAACAGTGAGTAGTCATCATAACAGTATAGTCCCTTCTATTTAAAGCTTTTAATATACTTAAGTATTCCATACTACATTGGTTTGAAATTGCTTTACTATAATGAAATTGATACTCACATTAATTGTCTCTTCTTTTATCGCACAGGTGACCGGATTCACATACTGCTAAAATTGTAACAGGTCCTAAATATCGCTCTGTGCTATGGCTGAAATAACAAATCAGTTATCCTACTTTTTTGGTAACATAACACGTGAAGAAGCAGAGGATTACCTAAAGCAAGCTGGTGTGTGCGATGGCTTATATTTATTGCGTCAAAGCCGAAGCTATCTTGGAGGGTATGCCCTTTCAGTGGCCCATGGACGAAAGTTTTACCATTATACAGTTGAAAGAGAATTAAGTGGCACATATGCAATCTCTGGTGGTGTGTCTCATAACTCTCCAGTTGAGCTTATCAATTATCATGCTCATGAAGATAGCGGACTTGTCTGCTTGTTAAAGAAACCATGCAATCGCCCTTCTGGTGTTCAGCCGAAAATAGGACCCTTTGAAGACCTCAAAGAGAATCTCATCCGAGATTATGTACGACAAACATGGAATTTACAGGTAAATACTTTTTTATTCCTTTTCAATTAATATGCAGTATGGTGCCTTATGTAACATGAAGAGCAAAAAACAAAGTTGAGCAGTAACCTACAGCAACCAAATAAGAGTTTAGCTTTCATCACAGCTTTGACCATCCAAAACAAGCAAAGATGGTTTCTTGCTTATATTTTCCATTTGGTATTATATGTTGCCTCAAAGGTATCTGGACCCTTTATTCTACCATAATCTGCACACATTAGAATTAGCAACTTTTGTCATCCACTTTTTTTTCTGAGTGGGTAGGGCTAGAATCTCTGTCAAGTTATTTTTGCTTTCTGTTTTCCCTCACTTACTGTCCTGGCGACAGGGAACAGAGAGACAGAAACAGATGAACAAAACCAGTGCCAAGCTGTAAAACTACAATGGTGTCAAAATGTCCTGTATTCTTTCATGGCCTTTAGTGCCATGTTGTGTAAGCTACACAATGCCATACATTTCCATATAACAGAACTAAACAATGACAATTAATCTAAACCACAATGGCTATGCTACCGGAAATGTGTCATATTAGCTAAGTCAGGTACGCAGTATCATGTACTCTAAATATCAGGAAGCGAGGCAGCGTGTAATGACGCGCTGCCTGGCTTCCTGATACAGGACGCATCGCGCTAGGCATCGGAGCATTTGGACGAGTACTCGTCCAAATACTCAGTATCGGCACCGATATCGATACTAGTATCAGTATCGGTGCTTCCCTAATTTTAACCAAACCTCAGAAATGTATATCCCTTCTCAGTATAATATTGCTCCTCATATAGCAGAAGGCAGCCTCCTCAATCCAAGCAGTCCACCTCCCTCCTCTCTCTCCCTGCTGGATTCTCGCCGCACAAACACTCGCCGTCTACCACTGTCGGCGTGTGACGTATGCAGCTGGGACGGGCCATCGATCTGCACATGCATACCTTTATAGGTCACATCTGAGTGGAGGGTGTGATGCCCCTCCCTGAGTCCCCTCCCGAGGCTCCTCCGTTTGACAGTACAACGCCGACATCACATCAGCGTCGTCCTGTCTTCGGTCTGTGATAGGCAGATAGACAAACTAATCCGCCACCACAACGGGACTATAGGAGATACAGCAGAAACATTGCCCCTGCCTAAGTAGGGTGACGTCCAGGTGCACACCGTCCCCAATTGTTGTAATAAAGGGGATAAGCCCGATAGTTACCAGCCCCAGGTGATGGGAATGACTCCCAGGCATACAGACAGATCAGTCAACACAGAGATTCCCATTTTCCAATGAAAATGCATTAAATAGTGAAAATTATATTGCATTATTAAAATAGACAAATTAACAAATGACATCAAATTAAAGTATTAGTTCATCAAATTATGGTCAATTATAACCAAAATTATGCATAGAATCAAAATCTAATGACACTAATGTTCAATATGATATTTCAGCAGGGCAGTAATCATACAAAGATCCTACGACTATGTAATGTAGAAAATTGAGTCATTTTAACTCAAAACAGCCTTTTCTGCATTTTCTAAGCTTGTTCCTTATTACAGTAAAGAGGGTATTCCATTTCATAGAACATTCACACAAGCTGTGCATTAGCAGCACAACTGCATTTTCTAAGCTTGTTCCTTATTACAGTAAAGAGGGCATTCCATTTCATAGAACATTCACACAAGTTGTGCATTAGCAGCTTGCACAGGAAAAGAAGGTTAAGCCGATAAATCATCACACACTGACAACATGTTTGTATATCTTATGTTCAGGAATTAAAACTAGAGGCAATATGACGCAACACTTGTTTTTACTCTGTCTCACCCATTGTTTAGAGCAGGGGTGCCCACAATTTTTTGTGATAAGATCTACTTTTCAAATGATGAGCTAAAGGAGATCTACCAACAAAAAAATACCTCCCTCGCTCTCCCCTGGCTGTCTCTCCTCGCTCTCCTGGCTGTCTCTCCTGGCTGTCTCTCCATGCTCATCCTCCTGGTTGTCTCTCCTCTCTCTCCTGGCTTTCTTTCCTCGCTCTCTCCTGGCTGTCATTCCTCGTTTTCTCTCCTGGCTGTCTCTCTTCGCTCTCTTGGCTGTCTTTCCTTGCTCTCTCCCCTGGCTGTCTCTCCTTGCTCTCTCCCCTGGCTGTCTCTCCTCTCTCTCTTTCCTGGCTGTCTCTCCCCGCTCTCTCTTTCCTGGCTCACCTTGCTGTATTTTGCAAACGGTGCAGTGCAACAGGCTGTGTAAACTGATATTCTTTGATGTAATACATAGCACTTCAACCACCTGTATCCACCAGAAAGGTGTCAGGGAGCTTGGCTCAGCAGACTCAGGCTAATAGGTAATCATGTGTGCACAGCTAAATAAATATTTACGATCTACCCAATGGGCACCCCTGGTTTAGAGGCTTTCCACACCTTGTCTTTCTTAGACCTTGTGTCATACTACTGCCCTCCTTCACAGACATCTCTACTGTCCCTCCTGCACTCCTTCACAGACATATCTACTGTCTTAGCTGATTCTATCTCTGCTTGACAGGAGTCTGACAAGTACATCACCCAGTAAACTCAATTTACTAAGCTATAATGCATGTTTCCTTTGCTATACCAGTCTGTATTTGCTGCTTTCCTTGACTTTCAAAACTTAAAATAATGTTCTTTATGCAAATAGGCTTGTTATAGCTGAATGCATTAAGCCTATTCACCCCATTCCCTCACTAGACCCTATGAACTGTCATCTCTCCTTGAATGCCTCTTCAGCCAATCCACTTCTATCCCTGCCCCCACTTAGCTTGTCCCAGTAAAAGTATAAACAGATGAGGTGGAATACATAGCCCACTTGACAACCAGCCAGCCATACCATGCTATTGCTACTAGGGATGAGGTTTGGGTTTGCCGTTACCATAGGTTTGAGGCAAAAGCTTTGAGTTCAGTTTTTGCGATCCTACCACATTTATGCTGAATTTAACCAGGCTGAATTCTTAGAAACCATAATGCACTACGTTGGTTTTGAACTTAGGGTAGATGGCTTAGAAGGGCCAATAATGGGGGCTTTTTTATGTGCCAGTCCCCTCATTAAAAAAGGGTGGGTTCCTAGCAGCCATTTGTCAGTTTATATTGGAGTAGTTTAGGAACAGCTGGCAGTCTGTGTAGAGTGAGAGATTCACTTTTATTTAAGTGGTCAGGCTGGCCTAAATTTAGAGGTACAGGTTCTGCATGCAGAGGTATGAGCAGGTTCTGCAGATCATGCTGCAAGGCACATCTGTCTTTTTTAGAGTGGCCGTACTATACAGTTACAGCATGCACTGGGGCTAGCACAGCATACGCTGGAGCTTCTGGCTTGCTTTGCAGTAAGTGTCTTGCCTGAGAGAGCCTTCAACACAGCAGGAGGTTTTGTTATGGAGAGAAAAATCCACCTGTCCCCTGACACTGTGGTTTGGCTCACTTTCTTTAAAATTAACCAGTCTTGGATTACGCATAGGGTGGTGCTTGGAAGCGTTATTCCAGACAGCCACGGAGCTAATTACATAAAAGAAATAGGCAGAGGGACTACATGACAGGGTGGACATGGGATCAGGAAGGAGGGGTCAAGGTCAAGGTTTTTCTTAAAAATGGAGGGGGCACTTACCTGGTTGGCCGAGTGATAGGTAATTGTAGCGGAGTCAGCAGGCATTGTTAGATATTTATTTTTAAATGCAATAGCAATAAGATAAACATAATAAGCTCAAGACCTAGCAGCAATTAGTATTGACTGTAAGTGAAGAAGCATTCATTTGTACAGTAAAAGTGTTGCCTGGCATTTTGGCTAATTTATAATAATTTTAAAAACATACCCGTAATGACCTCCAGATTTTCACAGCCAGCTGGGTAGGTACACATCAATCCTTTTACAGCATTGCTCACCTGCAATAAACCTTATTAAATACTTTCTTCATGAACTACACATAATCATACACATTAGAGACCATTAAAGGAGAACTATGGGGTCAGTGTTTTTCCCCATAGTTCTCCTTAGGATAACGGGATTTTTAATTAAACATGATAAACAATACAACATGACACAAATTATTTTCCTTGGAATGTCAGGGCCACAAGTTTTATAAGATGACAAATTAATAACAAAAACATAATGCACACACCAAGTCTTCAAATGTACATGAATTTGAATATGGTCATTAAAATTGGGTCCCTGATAGCGCCACCTAATGTCATGCTCCATTATAAACCAGTACCAGCTATCTGCCATTTGCATGATACACATCAGTGATTTTGCACCATTGTATACCCAAATAAACGGTAATTACATCCTTCATGAACTCCATGTATTCATAAATCTTACTGACTCTTACTCCATTGTTACTCTTACTCCTGTGTCACTCAGTGATCCCAGAGCATCCCGTGTCACCCATTGACCCCAGAGCAAACTGTGTCACCCAGTGATCCCAAAGTGTACCTCAAAGCTGCAATGACTCCACAGCACCTTGCCTCATGCTGTGTTTCCACAGCTTTCTGTGCCCCCATTGCACCTTGGGTGCCTCCATGACACCTGCTTCTTCATGCAACCTCAAGTACGCTCCTGTAATTCCTGAACTGATTCTCTCCCAGTGGATACAGACCACTGTTTTTTGGTGGATGAGAGTGTTACTTATTTTTCCTGCCAGTGGGTTATGAGCAAGAGCAATACCTTTTTAATAAAATATTAATATAAAAGAAACACCTCTTATTTTGTTTCTCTTTATTTATTTATAGGGTGAAGCACTTGAACTAGCTATTATTAGCCAAAAACCTCAGCTAGAAAAGTTAATTGCCACAACTGCTCATGAACGAATGCCTTGGTTTCACGGCACTATTTCACGGGAAGAATCTGAACAGCTGCTGCTGAATGGAGTGAAGACAAATGGAACATTTTTGTAAGTAAATGATCTGTGCTACAGTTATATCTAATAGTCTGAATAACCAATGATAAAAATTGGTGTGTGAAATAATTATCTTTTTTTAGCACTCATGGCCGATATAAAATATATAGATCTTGTTGTCATATATAGGTTATATTTTTATGATACCCATTGTATGTTTTGACAGGCCATAAGCCATATTATAAGTGAACAACTTATTGACGACTTTAGGCCCCATTCACACTGAGCGGAAAATCCAGCAATTTCCGCCGCGATATCGTGCATTTTTGCCGCGCGATATTGCGAGAAGTTGCAAGCCAATGGTTTTCAATGGAGCTGTCTTAACGTACAGCTCCATGTCGCCCATCGCGGTCGCAAGTCGCAGCTGCAGGACCCTTTTTCCCGCGGATGTCGCGCAAATTTCCTTTTTTTTTAATGCAGCCTGACACTGGAACGTCGCCCGAACCGTCGCGCTATCCCGCCGTGCGGAAATCCACTCGAGGTGAGTGTAGCTTAGTGTGAAGGGGGCCTAAGACTTTGTATACGCATTCCCATATAAATCTTAAAGATGAATGGGTGTGTAATATTTTCTCTTCTGTGAAGTGATCTACATATTCAGAAAGGTTTATTGGCTTGTGACTTGTGACTGTGAAAAGCGGTACAGAGGAAGTAGATGTCAGATGGCACATGTGAGGTGACAAAGATAAATAGTAAACGCTTGCAGAAAAATATGAACTTTGTTATTGTTCATAGTTTCATTATATGACATTTAATTGATTTGTTAAATATGGATAAGTTTGACTAATGTTAGATCTATGGTACTTTTATCTCCAGATTTATTTTCCTATTTTACTTACTCATAGAGGAGAAAGACAGTGATATAGAGAAATGGAGATCAAGAATATAGATAGATAGATAGATAGATAGATAGATAGATAGATAGATAGATAGATAGATAGATAGATAGATAGATAGATAGATATACCCCATTTTTTTATCTGTTGGAGTACGAGAGGGTATGAATAAGTAATGTCTGTTGCGATATAGAAGGTTTATTTATACAGAGATGGAAACAATAAACATGCTTACAATTACTACTCTCTACTCAGAGTTGGCCATCAACATAGATCCCATCACGTTCAATGCATCTGCACCATCGTTGTAGCCAGGCCTCAAATCCAGTTTGGAAAAATTCTACAATTTGCATGAGGAGAGCTTTAATGGTGCCATTCAATGCATGGTCAACAATTTCAGTTTCTCCCTTTTTACTCATCTTTATCCAACACCTAACATTGCTCATGTCAGTTGCTGCATCACCAGTGAGGAAACAAGGGGGGGGTGGTGGGGGGCAGGTGCCCTGGGCGCCGCTGGCGCAGCATTAGGGGGGGTGCTGCTGGCAAGCACCAGTGGAGGATCCAGGGGGGACTACTTAAAATCAAGCCATCACAGTGGTGATCGCTCTTAGAGCTCTCCCCTCTATAGTAGCTGAAGTGGGCGGAAGCTGCAGGTGGCTGAGCAGGAGAAAAGCCTGCGGTTGAGCTGCCTTTCTACTGCCCGCTTGGAAGCTTCACTTTAGAATGTGAGGCAACATCACTGCCACCTCCACCACCACCACCACCACCAGGAGAGGAAGAGGGCATGAGGACAGAGCACCTGAATCAGATCAGTTATTTCCAAAGTAAGTCCATGTTCTTTCTGCGTCACACCGATGACCTCTGTATTGTGTATCACTCCGCTGACCTCTGCACTCTGAGTCACACCGCTGACCTCTGGACTGTGCATCACACTGCTGACCTCTGTACTGTGCATCACACTGCTGACCTCTGTATTGTGCATCGCACCGCTGAAATCTGTATTGTGCGTCCCACTTCTGTACTCTGTGTCGCACTTCTGACCTCTGTACTGTGCATCACACCACTGACTTCTGTACTCTGTATCACATTGCTGACTTCTGTACTCTGCATTATTACTGATCTCTCTACTCTGTGTTATTCCGCTGACCTCTGCACTCTGCGTCACACTGCTGACCTCTACACTCTGCATTACACTGTTGACCTCTGAACTCTGCGTTATTACTGGCCTCTGTACTCTGTGTTACACCTCTGACCTCTGTACTGTGTGTCATATCTCTGACCTCTGTACTGTGCATAACACCTTTGACCTCTGTATTGTGCATCACACCACTGACCTCTGTATTGTGCATCACACCGCTGACCTCTGTACTCTGCATCACATTGCTGAATTCTGTACTCTGCATTATTACTGATCTCTGTACTCTGTGTTATTCCGCTGACCTCTGTGTCACAGTGCTGGACTCTACACTCTGCATTACACTGCTGATCTCTGAACTCTGAGTCACGCTGCTGACTTCTGCACTCTGCATTACACTGCTGACTTCTGCACTCTGCGTTATTACTGACCTCTGTACTCTGCGTCACACTGCTGACCTCTGTATTCTACATTACACCGCAAACCTCTGTACTCTGCATCACACCTCTGACTTCTGTACTCTGCATTATTACTGATCTCTGTACTCTGCGTTATACTGCTGACCTCTACACTCTGAGTCACACTGCTGACCTATGCACTCTGCCTAACACTGCTGACTTCTGCACTCTGCGTTATTACTGACCTCTGTACTCTGCATCACACCTCTGAACTCTGCACTGTGCGTCACACTGCTGACCTCTGTACTGTGCGTCATAACTCTGACCTCTGTACTGTGCATCACACCACTGACCTCTGTACAGTGAGTCACACCACTGACCTCTGTACTGTGCATAACACCGCTTACCTCCGCACTCTGCGTTACACTGCTGATCTCTGTACTCTGCATCACACAGCTGCCTCTGTACTCTGTGTTACACTGCTGACCTCTGCACTCTGCGTTATTAGTGACCTCTGTGTTATTACTGCACTCTGCATTATTACTGACCTCTGTACTCTGCGTCACACCACTGACCTCTACACTCTGCGTCACACCGCGGACCTCTGCATTCTGTATTACACAGCTGACCTCTGTACTCTGCATTACACCGCTGAGCTCTGTACTCTGTGTTACACTGCTGACTCTTGCACTCTGCGTTACACTATTGACCTCTGCATTACTACTGACATCAGGCTGCCACCCTGGAGCAACACAGACTATGAAGCTTCATATTATTCTGTGTTGCTGTATAATGTATTGCTGGGATTTGTAGTCTTCTATAGATGGTGGTATTCTGCATTGTTGTGTAATGTATTGCTGGTATTTGTAGTCCTCTATTGCTAGTGGTATTCTGCATTGCTGTATAATCTATTTCTGGTATTTGTAGTCCTCTCTAGCTAGTGGCATTCTGCATTGCTGTATAATGTATTGCTGGGATTTGTAGTTCTCCTTAGCTGGTGGTATTCTGCACTGCTCTGCTGTATAATGTATTGCTGCATAATGAACCTCCGTGGTGGTTCTTTAGTGTCTTTAGATCAGCTTCTGTGCTCTTTCTTTTGGTGTGGCGGTGCCCGTCTTGATTCACAATGAAGGTGAGGCTTGAAATCACTTAATTCATGTCTCTCCTCCATGACGGATTATAAGGGGCAACACCGGGAAAATAGAAGCAAGCCCAGAAGAAGCTTCTAAATGATCAAAGCAGCACTGGAGAATGAGGTGATTTGAAGCCACACCTCTGCAGTGGACCAGGAGGGGCGCCCCTGGGGGGGAGCAAATCTGAGTCTTTGCTCCAGGTGAAATAATGTCTAGCATCACCATCAACAGCCAAACAGCCCTCTTTCAATAGTAAGACAATTACTGTTCTTTCTTTCAACCTCTTATTCATGATTTACCTGGTACAATTTAAAAAACAGAAGCACACAATGATTGAGTTAAACCGTATGTATGACATATATCAGGCATTTTATTTTAAGTTAACATGAATAGCGGATATGAAACAACAGGCATTACTTTGTAATACCCCATCATAACTTATCAGCACCAATAACTTCACTGAGCGATCTTTTGTCATGTTGTCAATAAACAGATATTGTCCTAGGAGGTATAATTTAGTATAATGTAACTAACTCTGCATATCAAGCGACATACTGTACTTATTCACCTCCCAATTAATCTATATCTACAAATATATTCTGGCTTATGTCTTATCCAACCTATGTGATTTTAGGGAATGTTACTTTTCCTTGACAAGTAGTTAAGAATGCACATCGCTCAGCAGTCGGTTTATTTATAAAAATGCTGTGTAAGGCAGATACTGAATAATGTATTGCATAGTCTTTAGCTACACTGCTAGAGTACATTTCAAAGTCTATAAAACATTAACTTGATGTTTGCCTATTTACTGTTCAGCATTTTGCCAGCACAGAATGATTTGTTATTTTTACCTAACAACATTTGCATGGCTTCAAGACAGAAATTATTACTACTTAGGTCTTAGCTGTAAAATCAATACTGACAGTCACACTGGATTGTAGACAAATATATACTTTTTTACAAATAAATTGTGTGAAGAGTCAGCCTCTATTTTCAGGTTTTTCTTGTGTCCCTGTTCTGCCAATGTGCTATTATGAATTCCTTTGCCATGTACTCTTGGCCCTTCTGCAATGCAGCTTCATTTTCCTAGGCTGTATGAGATTTCTTGTAAATGTCTATAGGCCCATAATGGCTATAAATAAAAGAAATTGCAAGCGGAATAGAAACAAAGGTGTATCTGTCCGCTAGCACTTTAGAAAATGGGAACACAGTCCTTATGACATCAGCAATGTCTCACCCATCCTGCTTGCTCAAAGCCATTAGGCCATTGGGCCAGATGAACTGTCAGTGGTGCAACATTAAATAGTGCAAATTGTTAAATTTTTACTAATGTAACAAAAAACAATGATTCTCAATGCATGTTACTGTTGAATGCAACATGTGTGTCAGAAATAGTAAAATCCCTATTTCCCACATTTAATTTTTAATTACATTGCAATTTGTGCATATACTTTGGGTGCATATAGGAGCATTAGTGTGCCAAGCAGAATGTGAT